CTATGAGTTGGGTCTGACTTGACGGCACATAACAACAACAACAACAATTCATTTAATGCTCACAACATGAGGCAGGCAAGGAGACAGCAGGTATAGCACCCGCCACTGTCTGGTACTCAATAGAGCACTGATAAACATGAGTTCTTTTCCTTTCTTTCCCCTGCCCCAACTCCCTTTTTTTTGCTGTCTTTTTGTTCCTCGCGTTATGAGGTGGTCTTGGCCAATAACCAAGTGGTGGCTAAGTTCACACCAGTTGCAACTTGGATTCTTCTTCTCTGGGATATGTGTGCTCTGAGAAGCCAAAACTCATGAAAGTCACAAAAGGTCAGAGTTTTGAACTGTTATCCCAGAGGTGGATTTTATTATCCTCCCAGGGAGCCATCCACCCGTCTGCAATAGAGGCAGCTGGACTTCTCCCTTACAGAAACCTTCACTTGGGTGTCACCTGGAGGCAGTGGTATGCTGGTAAACCAGCACTCCCTCTGGCAAAGAAAGCCCTGATTTACAGCAATTGCTGATTTCCAGTGGTGTAGATACTCCCCACTCTGGCTGATTTCAAGTTACCAATGGTTAACAGAATAGCAAAATTTTATGAATGTTTAACAGTCGCCCTTGCAAGCTGCCATTGACCATCTTCAGTCTGTTACTGTCTGAAGGACCTCTCCCTGGACATTGATTAAGAGCAAACAGTCAGTGCTCCGTCCCTCCAGACTAAGAGGTGAACGTTCAGAGTTCCTTCCTATTTGCCCTGGACTCAATCCCATTTGCCATGTGGCAGAAATAAAACATGATTAAGGCCCCAGTAGGGTTGCCAGATTTAGTAAACAATAAAAACAGGAAGCCCAGTTACATTTGAATTTTAAATAAATAATAATTACTATTTTAGCACACCAAATCCCAAACCCACTGCAATTGAGTCGATTCCAACTTATAGCGATCATATAGGACAGAGCAGAATTGCCCCATGGGGTTTCCAAGGCTGTAAATCTTTATGGAAGCAGATCACTTCATCTTTCTCCCAGAGAGTGGCTGGTGGGCTTGAACCACTGAACTTTTGGTTAGCAACCAAATGCCTTAACCACTGCACCACCAGAGCTCCTATTTTAGCATAAGTATGTCCAAAATATTGCATGGGATGTGCTTACACCAAAATAGTTACTTGTTTATCTGAAATTAGAGTTTAACTCAGTCTTGCATTTTGTCTGGCAACCCTAGCTCCGCAGACACGTATGGGTGGCCAGGAAATTCTTATGGACTGCAGGCAGTGATGAGAGTCACAGTGGACTGGGAGCCAGAGATGTGTGTCCTCGCTGTCCACTGTTTAAACAAGAAGAGTGGTGGTTACGTTTACTATTTCGGCTTTCCTGAGATTCTGAGACTCTGGAAACTAGAAGGCTCCCCAAGGCATTAGTCTAACATTTTCATTTTACAAATGAGGAGGCTGAGGTGCAGAGGGGTGACTTGTTCAAGGTCAGTGAGCTAGTAGCACCACTGAGGCTCGAATTCTGGATTCATAACCAGTGGGCTCTCCCCCCCCACCACCACCACACACACTTTGATCCTATACAATCTCATTTGAGAGTTAGTTTGGTTTTGTGGTTAAGAGTGAACTACACAGCCATACTGCCTTGGTTCACTTTCTGACTACCTTTTACTAGTTCCTTGATGATGATAAGGCCCTAATTTTTTGGCCTTGTTTTTCATCTTTATGTTGTTGTTGTTGTTATGTGCCATCAAGTCGGACCTGACTTATAGCGATCCCTCCTTAGGTTTCTGGGGCAGTATCACTATGGAAGTAGATTGCCCAACCTTCCTTCCGAGGAGTGGCTGGTGGGTTTGAACCGCCAGCCTTCTGGTTAGCAGTCAAATGCTTTAGGCACTATGCTACCAGAGCTCCCTTCATCTTTATAATGGGGGTTAAATAAATTAGTACTATATGTAAAGTACTGGGAACAGTGAGAGGCACATCGTAAGCACACAATAAATTTATACTTTCCCTGCCTTTGGAAGGGAGCCCTGGTGGCATAGTGCCTAAGGCACTTGACTGCTAACCAGAAGGCTGGCGGTTCAAACCCACTAGCCATTCCTTTGAAGGAAGACTGGGCAATCTACTTCCATAGAGATACTGCCTAGGAAACCCAAGGAGGGGTCACTATGAGTCGGAACTAACTCGACTCAATGGCAGTGAATTTGGTTTTTGGTTTTGCCTTTAGAAAAAATTCTCTTCCTTGTCTCCCCGTTGCCTTTTGAATCTGCACCCACGTGCCAGGATTTTTCTGAATTCTTCTCCTGGGTGATCCTCTGCTTGGTCGTGCTGTGTCTCTCGCGCCTGCCTCAGTCTCCCTGTCAGTCATCTCCTCCTCTGTTCACTTGGGATCATTAACAGTTCTAAAGCAGGAATCAGCTTTACTCAGACTCAAAGGATTCACTACATTTAAAATTCACTACAGAAGAACCTGTTAATAACGCTTAGACCCCACCTCTTAGATTTAACTGCACTCACAGTGCCACAGCGCGACCAGAAGGTTCTTGAAGGCAGGACTGATAGTGTCTTAAGCTTTCTGTCTGTCCCAAGGAATACAGTAGGCATGGTGGAGAGAGGATGAGCCTGAGTGGCTGACATTGGAGACAGCAAGCTCTGGAGTCAGGCAGCCTGGGTTTAAATCTGGGTTTCACCACTTACTATTGTGGACCCAACGTCTCTGAACCTCATTTCCCTTAAAGTGGACCTAATAATAGTCCCACTGCAAAGGGGTGAGCACTGAACTCACATACTGCTACTTTCTAGCAGTGAGACCTTGGGAAACTTCAGCTCCATGTGCTTCAGTGTCTCCATCTGTAAAATGGATCCAGTATTCCCTTCCTCATGGGGGTGATGGTGAGGAGTAAACGAGAACCTTCAAAAAGCTCCCAGTAAACTCTTGAGACAGTGGAGCATCTTTATCATTTCACGCCACTCACTTGATCAACTTCTGTCAACATTTACTTCCCCCTGGTAACTGGCGTGGGAAATGAGATGAGATCCTAGGTAATCATGAGAGCAGAGATGAGCTTAGAATTCAAGCTTTTGTTTATTCCGCTCTGACATTCCTGCATCGTTTAGCACTTGAGCCCCAAGAGCTGCCTCTTTTTGTCTGAGAGTTAGAAACGGTCTTGTTGGGGATGAAGGTTGTTTTTGTTTCATTTTGCTTTATCAACAGAAACACTCCCTGATTTCTGTTCTGAAAGGCTGAGGAGGAAGCTGAGTCAGGCGGGCGCGGTGGACGTGAAATCGGTCACCCGTCCCTGACCGTGGCTTTGGCTTACCCAATCAGTACACTTAGACTTGTATATCAGCCACATCTGCTATCCATTTTATGCACATTTCTCTAATGGCATGAAAAAAAAAAAAAAAACAGCCTTCTTGGGGAATGCACTAAAATGAATGCAGTGAAAAGAGTCCAGGCTTCTGCAGTCTCCGTGAGAGATTGGAATTCCAGCCTAGTGCCAAGACCATGATTGGGCAATTTAGGAAGGGGTGGAGCCAGGCTCTCATCCCTAAAGTGGAGATGGTGCCTATCCTGTAGGATTACAGTGACACTTAGTGTGGATGGATATAAAATTTGCAGAAAAGCACAGTGGGATTGAATGTATCGCAATGATGCCACCTTCTTTTCCCTTTCAGGATGATATCCCAGGTCCTGGGTTCTACAATGTCATTCACCAATCTCCAGTGTCCAACAGTGTTTCGTTGTCTAAGAAAGGAACATGCACTTTTCCTTCTACGGTGAGGATCCCTTCTCTTGAGTCTGGGTGTTTACTGGCTGGTAATTGTCTTCATTCATTGTGTTGTCACATATTGGCCACCTGGCCCTTTCTCTCCAAAGGCACATAGTTCTAATTAGAAGAGTAATCACCTCCTCAGATTTCACACCAGGAAATTGGAACCTGTATCTTTAGTCATTTTTCCTCACCCTCATGTATTGCCAAACTGGGAGATGAAGCTAGAGGAATATTTAGAACTTGATCATCCAATTTTGTCATCACAGAGTGCACTAAGCCAATGGTTTCCTGAGATTTATAGGCATATTAGGAAATGAATGCTACCCTTATACATCTCGCCCTACGGTGAGTCTTACGCTGCTTAATCAAACTGGGCTATTCAAATTATTGAGACATGATTGGACCGACAAAAAAAAAAAAAAAGTAGGCAGTGGGTCTGAAAATTAGTGATTTCCTCCTTTATTTGTTTTCTCTGTATGATAAAAAACAACAACAACAACAACAACTTACTGCCGTTGAGTAGATCTGACTCATAGCGACCCCTCCTTGGGTTTCCGAGACAGTATCACTATGGAAGTAGATTGCCCAACCTTCCTTGCGAAGAGTGGCTGGTGGGTTTGAACCGCCAGCCTCTGGTTAGCAGTCATATGCCTTGGGTACTATGCCACCAGTGCTCCTACAATACTGTATGATATAGGAATGTATTTTTGTTAAGTACTGTAACAATAGCCATTTGAAGAACTGATGACCATAATTAGACTTAGGCCAAGGCTATTCTTATTTGAATATTTATAAATTATCAAGACAAAGAGACATAACAAGGGAAAAGAATCAAATTAGGGTAAAGGTAGCTGTGGTAGAAAAGCAAAAAAGAAAGCAAACCCAGACTCTAGCATTAAGAAAACTTATGCTTTTCTGTCCCTTTAATAGTTCTAATAATTTCTTGCAAAGATGTGTTATGATGCCTGACATTAGTCCTGATTTAAAAAAAATAATAAAATAAAACACAAAGGGACTATTTAAGACATACTGAATGCAGCCACTTCTTGTTGGAATTAGAGTTTGGCAGAGATGAATACTCAAGGAACAAGCCAACCTTGGAGTTAACTCCCCATCACCAAAGTAGTGGAGGTTGCACATACCCATATAAACTCACAAAACAACCACGCCTCTACCTATTTTTCTGCCCCAAGCGCTGCTAGTAAAGAGACTCAAAAGCAGTTGGCTAAAGAAATGCCGTCTCCATGCCCTGGCACAGGAGACAAGAACTAAGACCTAATCCTGACTCAGCTGTAGACTCTCAGTGTGACCTCAAGCACGTCACCCTTCTGTGTCCTAGTTGCCTCATAAAACAGAGAGACTCCCTGGAGGCACTGGGCAAATTGACGTTGCAGTGGGTGAAATACTCTTTGAAACTGCAAACCATTATATACATGTTAATATTATGATTGTTACCACCTGAGTCACATGTAATACTTCCTGCAACACCTAGGTTTTCTCTCTGAGAACTTCTTTGCCAAATACTGGCACTGCCCATTCCTGCTTGGTGCCAGGGAAGGGGCTGAATCATAGCACACGATCAATTCGCTCTAAACTTTACATGCAGTAACTTTGAAAATGCCTTTCTTTGGGATGAGGCTGGGCCGTCTGGAAGAGAAGGGGCCCAAGGGGATGTCTGAATGTTACAGAATCTAATCAGGCCTTCCAAGTCTTTAAAAATTCAGACCAAACCAAAGAAAAGGTAACATTGAGTTCTTCAGGCTTCCTCTGTTCCTCCTTTTATTGATACAGGGATTTATTGTTATATTTATAGGGACACTTAGGTTTCTAAATCCTTGGTCAGGGGCCATAGTGGCTGGTGGAAATCTATCAGGAGATCCCATATCTTACTGAGTCCCTTTCTAAATAGGATCTGAATTTCCTATCCTCATTCCTCTTTCAGTGATTTTTACATTTAGTACCTCCCCCACTTCAGATGCCAAGCCTGTGAGAGAATCAAAAACAGCTTCATCAGAGAAAGACTAGAGACCTCTGCCTTACTGACACTGGTGTGACCAGTTGGAGTGTGATTGTGGGTGAGGCTGATCACAAACCTCTGTGGGTCTGTAAATTTTAGAAACTTCCTGGTGACTACTGGAACAACTACACCCAGCCTTTTGAGAGGACCTGTCATCTAAGTCCAAATTATCTAAAGCGCTTTGTGCATGTCTTCTAAATCTTTGCTCTAGTTCTATCACAAGGACTGACTAGGAAGTTAAATGGGGAGGAGACTTTGATGGCCTTTCTCTATTTGACAGAAGTGGTTCTAGAACAGTGTGTGCTGGAGACAGGTTCATAAATGCCACCATGTGGCCAGACCATGGGGTTGGCAGGTAAAAGAAAGCCAAGAGGGCCAGGGAGAAGGGGGATCAGATGACTGAGTGTAACTTCAGCTGTTCTATTGTGATTACCATGCTTCATGAAACTGCCTCTACTGTAATTTTTTTTTAAATGTTTTTGTCTAAAATCTGTGATGTTAACAGGTTTCTGGTATAGCATAGTGGCTAAGGCACTTGACTGCTAACCAGAAGGCTGGCGGTTCAAACCCACCAGCCACTCCTCAGAAGGAAGGTTGGGCAATCTACTTCCATAGTGATACCGCCTCGGAAATCCAAGGAGGGGTCACTATGAGTTGGATCTGACTCAACGGCACATAACAACAACAACAGGCCAAAAGAATTCTAAAATCTAGTAAGTTTAGTAAAGTTTGATTAAACAAAGTTAAGCAGATTTCTTTATTGTAGGTTTTCAATGGCCAATTTTTTCAGAAGTGGATGGCTCTGTCCTTCTTCCCTTAGTCTGGAAGCTCTGATGAAACCTGTCCACTATGGGTGACCCTGCTGGTATTTGAAATACCGATGGCATAGCTTCCAGCCTACAGCAACACGGAAGTCACTACAGTACAATAAACTGGCAGACGAATGGTGGATTGTTGAACTTAGATAATTGAATAGGCCAATGTGTATTATGAACCTTCAAAATGGAAACATGGTATGAGGGCTTCCCAGATTTATTTGACACTAACACTTTTTCTTTGCTGCTACTACCACCAATACAACCCCAGCACATTATATAAGTGATATGCCAAGGAACACACATTGGGAAACAGTGCTTTAGAAAAACATGTTTGCCCACTCTATTGCATGCCTCGGATACATATACAATAAATAGCTCTACCAAGGAAGTTTGACCTTGCCACCTTTCTTCGAGGAGCTCTGGTAGCATAGTGCCTTCTGGTGACTGCTCACCAGAAGGCTGGTAGTTCAAACCCACCAGCCACTCCTCAGAAGGAAGATGAGGCAATCTACTTCTGTAATGATACTGCCTCGGAAATCCAAGGAGGGGTCACTATGAGTTGGGTCTGACTCGCCAGCACATAACATAACATAACCTTTCTTCTATGGAAGTTAAAAGGAAAGAGCACCAGCGTGGCCTACACCAATGGGCAAAGGAAATATAGGGTTGTTGTTGTTGTTATGTGCCGTCGAGTTGGCCCCGACTCATAGCGACACCTCCTTGGGTTTCCAAGGCAGTATCACTATGGAAGTAGGATTGCCCAACCTTCCTTCCGAGGACTGGCTGGTGGGTTTGAACCGCCAGCTGTCTGGTTAGCAGGCAAGTGTCTTAGCCACTATGCTACCAGAGCTCCCAGAAATATAGGGTAGTGGTTCTTATTGAACCAAAACCTCCCACAGGTGCCCCTCTTGTAAATGAAAACACATCTTGCTGCTTGCTGCTATTCCTGGAGGGGCCATGCCTCTCAACACATTCCTCTTTTGAGTGGGGTAACTGGTACCCTCATTTCAGATAGCAGGAGCAGATTTCCTGGGTCAGAATGTTGGCTCCACCACTTCAAGGGCTGAAGAAGTTTAGGTTCCTCACCTGTGAAGTGGGAAAATAATATCTACCACTCAGGGTTGTCATAAAGATTAAATGCAACAGCCCATGGAAAGCACTTGTTTAACTATTGGCCAGAATGCAAAGTCAAAGTGCATGTGAGGCAGGGGCAACCTTACTCCTGGGAACATCAATGACTCCTTACAATTAGAAGGAGGCAGAGGTGGGGCTTGAACCCAGGTTAGGCTCTGAACAACTGAAGCTCTGGTCAAGAGCACTACTGCTTCCAGTGCTATGCCCTCTTACATAGCTGTGGTGGTCTGTAAACCATGTGTTGCCAACAAGTGCAGGGTGAAGTGGGGAACCCTAACGAGCCTCCTGCATTTTCTGTGGTTGTACAGCTGTTGACCCCTTTCAAGCAGAGGACATTCAGAGCAATGTTCTTAAGCTTTTGATCATAAAATAATAATGGGAATTTTGTTTTGTTTTGTTTTATCTGACTCTAATTCTTGCCATACTATACTAGGGTAAAGTGATGTTATCACCTAGTTTCTATGGCTTTTGTCCCTTTTTGTTTGGCAAATATTGATTCTATTTTTTTTTTTTTTAAATTGAACATAGTTTATCGTGGCTTCCTGGAAGAAGTGGGATTGTTGAACAGCAAAAATATTCTAGGGTTTTATGAAGATAGTAAGTTGGGTGGGAGGTAGGAGGTATGGGTAGACAGTAAGCTCCATGGACCCCCATACCTTTAAGATGTCTGAAACAAACTCACTGCTTAGAGAGTTCAGATCATTTAACCTTAGAAACAAGAAGTGAGAATTTCTCCCGGGAGAAAAGCCTAGGCTGGGGGACAAACGTCTAAAGGTTCCCATCACATAACTTACCAACAGCTGATGAGTCAGGCGTGAATGGCCTGGAAGGGGACAGGGTAGGAGAGCATTTATGGCAAACTTATTTTTGCCAAGTCCCAAATATAAGATGAATAATTTGAGTTAGTTTACAGAAGTGAAAGCAGGTCTGAACTTGCGTTTTCCAAGAGCCTGGAGTTTATCAGTGTTCCCTGTAGAATTTCACATTGTATAAAATACATTTAGAACTGGTGCTGGGCCCCATCATTTTCATACCCGTCCATCAGAGCCGTTGAGATTATGTGACAGTGCTGATTCCTTTGTCTTTCTATTCACAGCGGGCCCGACTGGACACCATCATCTCTAAATATCCTGCGGCAAATGCATATTCTATCCCATCGTGTATTCTTTCAAAGAAAGACTTCAGTAATTCCTGTTCCAGCATGTTCCAGTTGGCAAGCTTTGCCAAAGTTCTCAAATTTGTAACTCCTGCACCAAACCATTACAATGTAAGAACATTGCATGTGCTTATTAAATATGCATTGAAGGAATGGTTTCCAAGAGAAAAAATAAAGGAGAGGGTTGGGAAATAACATTTTAATGTAACTGGTAAACTAGTTAGCATTTACTGGCCACCCAATGGGTGCATGAAACTGTGCGAGACTCTTATAAAGAGTTTGCAGAACCCAGAGGGAAGTGTGGGCAACATGAGGACCAGTGCCTTGGGAAATAATTATCCTAATCACGTCTGTCATGTCAGCTTTCTGGGACATAGTTTTCTCATCTGTAATAAGGGCCTATTATTATTTGCAGACACTGTTCGTTTACCTTTTAGGTTCTTGTGGGGAAAGTAGACATCATCTTTCCATATCAGATTTTTTTCTTTTTTTTTTTGACAGTAGTGCTCTGCCAATTAACAATTGCTTGCTTTTCAGTGAGGCAGAATGGTATAATTAACAGTTAAGACATGGATTCGGGGAGGTTTGGTTCAAATCTTGGTTCTGACACTTTCTAACTATGTGGCTTTGGGCAAGTCCCTTAACCTTTTCAGGACTCAATTTATTGATCTGTAAAATAGGATTACACATCTACCTCATAGTGTTAATGCAGATATTAAATGAGATCCTCTAGGCTGAGTGCTTAGCACAGCTCCCGGCACCCAGGAATGGAGACCGATAGGCCATCTTTGTCATATTACCTCTTGAGCCTCAATTGTAAAATGGAATGAATATTACTTGCCCTGCAGGGTCATTGTAAGAAGTAAATAAGATAATGAACAAGAAAGCACCTGAAATGCATAAGACATGAATTGTACATAAGGTATTAGTATTATTATGCCATATTTTTAAATATTTTGATCTTAGAATAATCATTTTCAATTTCCTTTTATAATAGCTAGAAATAACATTTGTTTTTATGACTAAAAGATTTTACCCTCATCTCTGATTGATTCAATCAGTTATGCTCAAAGCAACATTCATGCCTACTAGGTTAGCACTGTCCACATACATAATTTAAAATGTTCTAGTAGTCATATTTGACTACTAACCAGAGGGCTGGTGGTTCAAACCCACCAGCTACTCCTTGGAAGAAAGATTGGGCGATCTACTTCCATAATGATACCATCTCAGAAACCCAAGGAGGGGTCACAATGAGTCGCCTCTGACTCCACGGCAGTGAGTTTTTTTGAGTAGTCATATTTAAAATATAAAGAAGAGCAGGTGAAATTGCTTTTAACAGTATGTTTTGAACACAATATATCAAAAATGTTATTATTTCAACATCTAATGAATATTAAAATTATTGATTTGATATTTTACATTCTTTTCTTAATACTAATTCTTCAAATTTCAGTATCAATTTTACACTCTCAGGGCACTTTGGTTTGGACCACACAGTGCTCGACAGCCACATGTGGTCCTGTTTTGAACAGCACAGTGCTAGGTAGTCTTTCCCTGGGGTAATCATGTGGTGGTTATGTTTTTGTGTCAACTTGGCTGGGCCTGGTTGAGTGGCTGGGCAGCTGGATGTAGTATTCTCCATGATGAGACTGGTAATCAGCTCCATGGTGGAATCTACTGAGAGCAGATGAGTAGCTGCCTTTGGGTATGTGGCCTACTTCCCGTATATAAGAAGCAGCTTTGGAAATGGTCTCTAGCCTATGGCACGCTTGGACCCTGCATGTAGCCATGTCATTGCTCAGCAGCCTGCCATGCTCTGCCGACCTTGGGACTTACAATGGACTTGAATTAATGGCCTGCCGTGTGGTTTGTAACATCAGGACTATGCCTTTTTACTTGTGAACCTTGGGGCTTCTCAGCCTCGGCAGCCAGCAGCTGTCTGAGTGAAGAAATGCCTCTAGCTCCAGTGGGCTGGGAGCAGGAGGCAGAACTGGACCCCAAGGTTGAGGGGCTTTCACCCAGCCCCTAGAGCTTGGCACTTTGAACTTGGACTTAAAGCCTCCAAATTGTAAGAATAGACTCTTGTTTGTTTAAGCCATCCCATTTGTGGTATTTTCTTGTCAGAGCGGCACTAGGTAACCAGAACAAATCAGAAGGCTGGAAATGATGATGATGATGGTGATGAGAAAGCACTTTTCATGGGCAGTGTGCTGGTCTAAGAGTGATTTATTCATCATAGTATGCAATACTCATATAGGATGAGGGAGGTTATCTTACTAACCCTGTTATAGAAGAGGAAGCTGAGGCTCAGAGAGGTGAAGGGATTTGCTCAAAGTCGTTCACCTTGAAGGCACCATTTGCACAGGTGCCATCAGTGAACACAGGTGGATGGCTGAGGCAGAAAGCTGGGGAGTGATGGGAGTCACCGTGTTCCAACTCTTGAGGTCTGTGGCTACTCTGTGCAAGGTGAGTGACACAGCAGTGTCCTGAGTGGAGATTCCAGTGGAGAACTCAGACAAGAGCCTATAAACAGACAAACAAAATAATTGCAAACTGATCAGCTGTGAGGGAAACAAACAGGAACTTGAGAGCAAGAGTATTGTGGGTTGCAGGGTATGGCAGTACCATGTCCTCTAGACTGGGTGGTTGGAGAAGGCTCTGAAGTTCCGAGTCAAGGATTGAAGGTGCCAGAACTGGGAGGCAGAAGGAACAGCACGTGCCAAGGTCCTGGGGCAGCAAAGCCCATAGGGAACTCCAGAAAGGCCAAATGGCTAGAGCTGTGTGAACTAGGAGGAGAGGGGAAAAGGTGGGGCTGGGAAGGTAGGCAGGGGCCAAGCCATGCAGGGCCTTAAAAACCTGGGAGAGAGTTTGAATATTGTGCCTAAAGCATTTGACTGCTAACCAGGAGGCTGGTGGTTCAAACCCACCAGTCACTTCACAGAAGAAGGTTGGGCAATCTACTTCCATAGTGATACCACCTTGGAAACCCAAGGAGGGGTCGCTATGAATCTGGTTAGACTCGATGGCGGTGAGTTTGGTTTGGGTTTTACTAAGAAGCCATTGAATCAGGGTGGAAAATGTGGAATGGTGTGATCTGATACATGTGTATAAAAGCTCACTCCAGCTGCTGTATGGAGAATGGCTTGCAGTGTGGGTGCCATAGCCAGTGTTTCACGTATCTGCCTCCCCAGTCTCACTGCAGGGCCCTCCATCCAGCGTCATCTCTTCAGTGCCCAGCATAGGTGGTGGTAGGCCCTAAGCATGCAGTAAATGTTTATGAAACCAAAGGAGTAGCTGGTTTTCAGTCTGGAAATAATTGTTACCTGGCTCAGAACTCTATCCTTCTGCTAATAGATCCTTTTTAGGTGCTTTTTATTCATTATTGTTTTAATGTGACTCTAGATATAATACATGCTCATCATAAAATATTAAAACATTACAGAACTATGAACTGGGTAGTGGAAGTCCCTTATAATGCTATTCCCTTCAAAGCAAACCACCATCAAAAACCTGGAGCAATTTCTTCCATATTCTTTCCCTCCCTCCTGTTCTTCATGATACATGTACATTTCCCACTTAACTACATCCTGGACTTCCTCCCATGGCAATGTAAGAAATTTCTTTCTTTTATTTTTTTTCCCACTAGTCGAGGTGAATATTTTCCTAGTCTAATAGGAAAAATCTTACAGTGACACACACTCAGTGTAGACAAAAATGCTCCCCTTTTCAGCTGCTTTTCTGTCTGGGTGAGGAATAAAGCTGAAGTACTGTTTTGTCTACAGCAGGCCTCTTTCAAACCAGGAGAACAATGGTTGAGTCAACTGGAGAGGAGTGGAAATGGGATAATCCTGTTAGCCACACCATGCACTGAGGTCCGCTGGGCCTCTTTCCCTCGGCTAACCACGATCCTCCACTTCTCTGTTTGAATCCTTTTTCCTGGGTACCGTGTTATTATCGCCTCTCGGCAACCTGGCTCCTCTCCCTGTGTCCAGTAATTAGCCTATTCCATCTGATCTTTTTGTTTGTCCTCTCTGCATGCAGTCTCGCCATTAGGACCCTGGGAAAAGCAAAATTCCTCCGCCTTTGTCAACACAAAATCAAAATACCATCTGCAGTTCTTGAGAAACATTTTTTTGACAAAAGAGTATCACAGAAAATCAAACCATCTTGGCCTCAGCAAATAGTTTCCCTCATTCAGTAAATATTCCCAGTGATTGCAGCTACACTTCTTATTGCATTTTTTATCTACTCAATACAGGGAACTGCCTGCAAACTGGCATCTAAAGTATTTATGATTCATGTGCAATGTCTGAATGATTTGGGGGTTCTTATTTTTGCTATTACTGTTAGATTTCTGAACCTATTGGACATTCTCAAATATAGAGTGCTTACATTAGCCAAAATTCTTTATTTTTGGTCTGCCCAGCAGTGTCAAGACAGGGAGTACTTACAAATTTGATCATAATCTTAAATTATCCAGTTCTCTTATATGCCCCAAATCCTGTGCTCATGGAAGGGCTGTTGGAAGAGTGAGGCATACGCCTTAGGGACCAGGGTGGATGTAGGCAGGACTAAGTGTCTTGAAAAGAATAATTGTTGTTATATCGTTCTTGGGGAAGCTCTGGTAGCATAGTGCCTAAGGCACTTGACTACTAACCAGAAGGTTGGCGGTTCAAACTCACCAGCTACTCCTCGGAAGGAAGGTTGGGCAATCTACTTCCATAGTAATACTGCCTCTGAAACCCAAGGACGGGTCGCTGTGAGTCGGGGAACAACTCGATGGCACATAACAGCAACAATAACAACAACATTGTTGGTTGTCATCAAGATGATTCCAACTGGTAGCAACCCATGTGTGCAAACTAAACTTGCCCCATAGGGTTTCCAAGGCTGTGACCTTTCAGAAGCAATTTCCCAGGCACCTCTGGGTTGGTTCAAGTCACCAACCATTTGGCTAGTACTCAAGAGCAGACCACTTGTTCCACTCAGGGAAGCCCTGAAAAGAATAATAAGAATAGAAAATAATAATAATAATAATTTGCACATGCAGCGTGTAGCATTATACAGAGGCGCTCTGATGGCAGAGTGCCTAAGGCATTTGACTGCTAACCAGAAGGCTGGCGGTTCAAACTCACCAGCCACTTCTTGGGAGGCAGACTAGGCAATCTACTTCCATAGTAATACCACCTCAGAAACCCAAGGAGGGGTCGCTATGAGTCAAATCAACTCGACAGCAGTGAGTTTGGTGGGTGTTTTTTTTATTATTATTTAATTTTTTTAGCATTATACATGTTTTCCACTTTCATATAGATTATTTCCATTGACTGTTCCCCACCCACAATGATCCTCTGCAGTAACTAGATATATTAGTAACATATATTTTACAGATGAGGAAACTCAAATTCAGAGAGGTTAAGCAACTTGTGCAGGACCACACAGCTTGTGCATGGCAGAAGCAAGCCTAGAAGCTGGGTCTTCAGGCTGTCTCTTCTACTGTACCACTGTCCTTGTACCATGTTGGGCCAGCAGAGATTTGCTAGCAATCACAAACTCCTAGACCATTTGAGCTAGGAGGATGATAAAGGCACAGGCAGTGTGACCTTTTTAGCACGTGTCAGCTCATTTTCTGAGGAGAGGTTCAAATCTGTGTTGTTTTTTCCCCCAAAATTTGCCACTTGTTCAGGAAGGATGACAAAGACAAAGAAAGGGAAGGCATTGAACACATCGTGGGTATTTTCTTCCCCCAGGCCTCTACCTCTTTCTGCAAGCAGAAAAACAATGTCTGTGCCCGAGCCGGGTTTATGTCAAGGACTCAAAGAGGAGTTTTCAGTATCACTGACACAGGACCTGCTCCAGGTAAGCAGCTGTCATGGCCTGGCTTTGACCCAAGGGTTCATGTACTGTTTTGACTGGTAGGGCACCCATTCCATCACAGGGAGTCTCTTTTGAAGGAGTTAGGCTTTTGAGGAGTAAGAGGTGGATGGCTGATATTGAAAAAGAGGAACAGAGTGAGGGTAAGACCAGTGTTCCCTCCCCTTTTGGGCAAGATGGCTGGCAGGGCTCTGGAAATGGTCCCTCAAAGCAGTCTTCTTGGCCTCTTCTTTCCCAACCAAGCACACCTGCCCTGGGCAGCCAGGTCAGAAAGTGGCTCCTCACCTCAGAGGTGTGCAGTCTCACACACCTCAGGTTCCATCACAGTCCACTACACAGTGGTGGGGGAGGTGAAGGAAAGAGGGTGGAGGAGATGACAGGGCATCCAGACTGTGGATGCTCAACTGCAATATTCTTCCCTTTCTCCTACACCTAGAGGTGACTTCATCATCTAGTCATAAAACGATGGCTAATAGCTCCATTTACTGAGCTAAGTATTTTCCATGCAGTCCTCACACACCAGTCCTCACAGGCTCAGACTTCTAGCTCTGTTTTTCAGATGAAGAAACCAAGGCTCAGAGAGTTGAAACAACTTGCCCAGTGTTACACAGCTAGTGAACAGTAGACCTAAGCCCCAAGGTGTCTGGCTGAAACCTCCAAGTCTCAGGAATACATGAGAGTTTGCCCGTTAGTGTTTTCCCTCCTGGGGCATGAGCTAAGATGTTGCTCTCAGACTTCCTACTCTCCTCTGCCAACCTGCGTAAAAAGTTTCCAGGGAGGTCTGGTTCTGTAGCAGCCTACAATGCAGAAGCACTTGTTGCATTAAAAACAAACACCCAAACCAGTTGCTGTCAAGTAGATTCTAATTCAAGGTGACCGTATGTGTTGCTTGCAGATTAGAACTGGCCACCATGGGGTTTTCAAGGCATCGGGTTCAAACCATCAACCTTCTGTTGTTAGTAGTCAAGCGCTTAACCATTTGTGCCACCCAGGGAATCCCACTTGTCATGTCAAACCTTCCTGAGTGGGTCCTGAAGACACCCTCCCCCCCACACACACACATACACACACACAGGAGCTGTGGCTCCTGAGCTGAGATGAAGATGAGCAGGAGGGTTGCTGCAGCAATTCTGCCTCTTGGAGGGGGTGTGGATTAAATTGCATCGCATGTCAGATTTCAGCAGATCCAGATTAAAGCTGAGAAGATCAGTCTGAAGCTGAATAACAAAACCATCCCTAATTAGGAGGCTCAGCCCTGCTGAAAGCTCCTCTGCCTTGCATCATCCACGAGCAAAACCCCACCTTGTTTGTTTACACAGGAGACAAAGACAGCATCCCTGGGCTTGGCCAGAGTCCCTGCCAATGAGTCCCACAGTGTGGGTACCCTCACAGCCAGCCATATATGCCCACTCCTTCCTGGGAGGGTCCTTGGTTCCCTTATAACACAGAGTTGTTACGTGTCGTCAAGTCAGACCTGACTCATAGCGACCCCTCCTTGGGTTTCCGAGGTGGTATCTCTACGGAAGTAGATTGCCCAGCTTTCCTTCTGAGGAGTAGCTGGTGAGTTTGAACTACCAGCCTTCTGGTTAGCAGTCAAGTGCCTTAGGCACTATGCTACCAGAGCTCCTAACACAGAATAGAGTGGCCAAAAAACTAAAAAAACAAACTCACTGCTGTGGAGTCTGTTTCAACTCATAGCGACCCCTCCTAGGGCTTCCGAGGCAGTATCACTGTGGAAGTAGATTGCCCAACCTTCCTTCCGAGGAGTGGCTGGTGGGTTTGAACCGCCAGCCTTCTGTTTAGCAGTCAAATGCCTTAGGCACTATGCCGCATCTGTTAAACCCCTACTGTGTGCTAGGAGCTTTACTTTCATTATCTCATTGAATGCTGCAAAATCTCATGGAGCATGTGGCTGGCACATGAGTAATCGCTCAGAAAGTGTGAGCTATTGTGATTATTGCATTTTACAGATGAGAAAAGTGATACGCAGAAAGTGAGGGTCCTACAGCTGGATTTGATTCCTAGCCCACTGGACCTGAAGCCTGGTGCTCCCCCTACTTCCCTGAGAACTGCCAGGGCCCAGAACTTAGGGGATCTCCTCTGGAAGAGACCACCACTTCAACCTGAGGCCAATCCTTTCCACTCTCGGGAGAGGATAACACCGTGCTTTCCACTTTGCCCTCTGTGGGGAATAGTCCCATGTGACATTCTTGCTGCCATCTCTCCCATAACCTTTTCTCTCAGGGACTCTGAGGGCTGCATCCGGTTAACTGCAATTCTGAACAAAGCAGTCACCTTTACACCTCTGAGTTGAATGTTCTAAAGTTTAGTCATGCCAAGCACAATTACAGCTACTTAGAAATGCCTCCTCTCTTTGTTTTCCCTCCAAAAAAGATGATTAGAACATGGGGAAGTGCCTATGTAAAGTGTCAGTTAAAAGACACAGGGTAAAAATTGCACCAGCATCATGTGTTCAATGCTGTGGAACAAAATGCAACAACTCTACACTCAGAAAAGAGGAAGTAAACACACCAGGACCTTAACGTCCGTTCTCTCTGGGTTGCTGTTCTGGTTACCTAGTGCCGCTCTGACAGAAATATACCACAGATGGCATGGCCTTAACAAACAGGAGTTTATTCTTACAATTTGGAGGCTTTAAGTCCAAGTTCAAAGTGCCAGGCTCTAGGGGCTAGGTGAAAGTCCCTCAACCTTAGGGTCCAGCTCTGCCTCCTGCTCCCGGCCCACTGGAGCTAGAGGCATTTCTTCACTCAGACAGCTGCTGAGGCTGAGAAGCCCCAAGGTTAACAAGGAAAAAGGCACAGTCCCGATGTTACCAATCCACACAGCAGGCCATTAACTTAAGTCCATTGTAAGTCCCAAGGTTGGCAGAGCATGGCAGGCTGCTGGCAGCGACACAGCTACATGCAGGGTCCAAGCGTGCCATAGGCTAGAGACCATTCTCAAAACTTCTGCTTATATACAGGAAGCAGACCACATCCCAAAGGCAGCTACTCAGCTGCTCACAGTAGATTCCACCATGGAGTTGATTACGAGTCTCATCATGGGGAATACTACATCCAGCTGCCCAGCCACTTAACCAGGCCCAGCCAAGTTGATGTACAAACATAACCATCACAGTTGTAGACTGTGAATGGCTCTTTTTTTTTTTTTTTGGTGCCCCTTTTTCTGCTTTTCAGTATTTTACAAATTTTATAATTCAAGCATTACTTTAACCTTAACCTTAAAAGAAAAAGCAAAAGGCTCTTTCCATTTTATGAAAGTAATACATATTCTAGAGCTTTTAAAAACAGATTTTTAATAAATTATGGTAAATCTGTCATTCAAAGCAAGGTGGCATGTTAATATTTTGGTGTGTAATTCTCATATTATCGTTATGTTTCTCTCTCTCTTTCTCTCAGATATTTTTTTCCCTACCATAAAGAGGGAATAATATTATAAATACCATTAACTGGACATGTGCTTTTTTTTTAACTTAAATATATGTTTGGAATATCTTTTCATGTTATTAAAAATTCTTCTAGAAAGTAATTTTTAATGGATCTATACTATTCCATAATATGGCAGTATCATAAATTATTCATTAAAAATTATTCTGAAAAAGACAAGTGCCTTCTTGTTAAAAATTCAGGTTGTTTTAAATTTATTACTAATATAAACAGAAAGGCAAGGAACATCCTTGTAACAATTTGTAGACAATCAAGATTATTTCCTTACATAAATTTCTTAATGAGAAATAACTAAGTCAAGACCTATATCCAATAGTTAAGATTTCTGACATTGGGACCAAATTGCCCCTCAGCACAGTGATAATTCACTCTCCTGTTTGGGTGAGGCGCCTGCTTCCCTGACCTTCACCATCACTAGGTATTGTCATTTAAAGAAAACCTTTGCTAATCTGTGTCATGTCCTTGTTTTTGATACTTCCGCAAATTTTTTAAAGAATCCAAATCCACTCTACAATGTTAAGAAAACCTGAAATATTTCCCCCCCACACACTACCACCACTCTAATGGGCTCCATTTCTCAGGGCTCCCACCTTCTCTTTATTCAGATTTAACCATTTTACATAGACATCATCACAGTGTATGTAGAATTTTATGTCTTATTTCACTTTTTTTTTGCTTACCTTTAAATAAAATTTTCATGTACTTTTATGATCTTTGATTTTTGTCAGGATTGACATTCCATGAGATTGGGCTGGGCTATATTTCCATAATTCTCCCCGGTTCTTGGACATTTAGACTATTTATGCTTTGTTACAAGGACCTATGGTGGCGCAGTGGATAAGCACTTGGTAGTGGTTTGAATCCACCAGCGGCTCTGTGGGAGAAAGACCTGGAAATCCACTCCTGTAAAGATTACAGCCTAGAAAACCCTGTAGGGCCGTTCTCTGTCATGTGGGCTTGCTGAGTAGATAGTCAAGTGATAGCACCTAACAACACAACATGCTTTGTTACTATAGTAGCTGTTGCTCTATGTACATCTTTGTGGTTAGAGCTTTTCTATTCTGTTGAGTAATTAATTTCCAAGTAGTGGGAAGCCTGGTCAAAGAGTGCAGATGTCTCAGAGGCTTTTACTTAGTACCTCCAGTTTGCCCTCCAGAATCCTTATATCCATTTACATGGCTCCCACAATTTAGGGGTGAAAGAGTTTCTCCACTCCAGCCATTCTGTTCTTCCTTGGCATTTTGTGCACAAATTAATTGTATTCCATCCCAGTTTCTTGATATAGGGTCTTGTGGCATAGTGGGAAAAGCGTGGACTTTGGAGACAGGTAGCCCTGTGTCCACATAGTAGGTGTTTAATGAATATATATTGCGTTACAATATTTACTGAGCAACTACTATATCCTGGGAACTTAAAATCATATTCAATAATCATAATAACCTTACTCTGTTGTAAGAACTACTATCCTTATTTTATAGAGGAGAAAGCTGAGCTTCAGCAGGGTGGAGAGATCTGTCTAAGTCCCTGATTAAATGGGTGTCCTTTGGCAAGTTATTAACATCTCCAAGTCTCAGGCTCCTCCCGTGTAAAACGGAGATGCTAGCACCCATCTTGCTGGCTGCTGCGTGACTAAATGAGCTCATATGTGATGCACGTGGATGTGTTCTCTAAATGGTGTTGTTTACAGTTCGTTCAAGCAGTCCTTCCGTCTGACCATCCTGCAGTGATATTGTCTTATGGTTAAGTGTGTTCTTAGGTGTCAGATGCTGCTTTTTATTTATTTGAAAAGAGTTTCCTATTCTGTTCTAAAATTTCTTTCTGCTTTAGGGCATTATAATGTCAACGAATCACTTGTGAAGCAGTCACCAAAGATATTAATGTCTTGTTTTAAATCAAAAACTGACCGAGGAGTAAAACTGATGTCAACAGGCCCAGGACCCGGTTCTTACAACCCAAATGATCACACCAAATTTCCGAAAAAGACTCTTTTCCCGTGAGTCCTGATCATTCTGATCCTTCCTCTGAGAGATAGTGCTGAGGGAGGGCCCCAACATGAGCAGAAAAGGGGTGGGATGGGGTCACGGCTTGGCAGACACAGTGCCAGGTCACTCTCCAGGGACCTTGCGGACATATCGTCAACACACACGCTCAAGAAATCCTTGTGGAATGCTGATATTTATTGAGCTACCACTATGTGCCAGAAACTTAAAATCGCATCTAATTATCATAACTCCATTGTTGTAAGAGTTATTATTCTCATTTTCTAGATGAGGAAGCTGGGCTTCATTGAGGCTGAGAGATTTGCCAAAGTCCACACAGCTATTGAGGTGCCACTGAGAATCGGGCTTGGATCTGCCTTGATGTATCCACATTTCTCATGATCCTATATTGTCCTGGTGCTGAAATTATTCTATTTTTCTAATATAAACTTGCCACTGGGGTGACAGGATATACAGAATCAATGACGCCCTCATAATTGTACCGCTGATAGAGATAAAAAGCCAAGACTTTGGAGTTGATCAGTCCTGCTGGATTTGAACTTCAGCTCTGCTGCTTTCAAGCTGTGTGACATTGGGCAGTGTACTAACTTCTCTGAGCCTCCATAGCCTCATCTGTGTAGTGCAGCTAATTTGTGACTCATATTTTTCAGGATTAAAAATATATGTCTTCATGTACTAGGTGCAAATGGTGATTTGATAATAGCACAGTTTTAAAAAGTGGAGATAGGATTTGTGTTACCATTTTTAAAATCCTGCATATTTAATGTTACTTTCATCTGAGTGGCTCAAAAACTCACAGTACTTGTTCGTTCCTCAAATGGGTAATAAGGGAGCCTTCTAGAACTTGTAGAATTAACTGTGGTTAAATTCTGCCTAAATTTAGAGACCATCTTAAGAGTAGATTTAAAACAGAGTGTTAATTCCCAAAGACCAGATGAGTTGTGGGATGACATCAAGGATATATGAAGAAAGCAAAAGGTCATTAAAAAGACAGGAAAGGAGAAAAGACCACAATGGATATCAGAGGAGACTGTGAAACTTACTCTTGTACATAAAGTAGCTAAAGCAAATGGAAGAAATGATGAAGCAAAAGAGCTGAACAGAAGATTTCAAAGGGCAGATCACGAAGACAAAGTATTATAATGAAATGTGGAAAGATGTGGAGCTACAAAACCAAAAGGGAGGAACATGCTCAGAATTTCTCAAGCTGAAAGAACTGAACAAAAATTTCAAACCTCAAGTTGCAATGTTGAAGAATTCTATGGACAAAATATTGAACATCCCAGGAAACATCTGAAGAAAATGAAAGAAATATGGAAAGAATTGGTCAATGTTCAACCATTCCAGGAGGTGGCAGATAATCAAGAACATATGGTACTGAAGGAAGAAATCCAAGCTGCACTGAAGGCATTGGTGAAAACTGAGGCTCCAGGAATTGATGGAATACCAAGTGAGATGTTTCAACAAACAGATGCAATACTGGAAGAGCTCACTCCTCTATGCCAAGAGATTTGGAAGACAGTGACCTAGTGAACTGAGTAGAAGAGATGCATGTTTATACCCATTCCAAAGAAAGGTGATCCAACAGAATGTGGAAATTATCTAACAATATTATTAATATTACACGCAAATAAAATCTTGCTGAAGATAATTAAAAAACAATTGTAGCAATATATCAACAGGGAACTGACAAAAATTCAAGCTAGATTCAGAAGAGGATGTGGAACAAGGTGTATCATTGCTAAAGTCAGATGGATCTTGATTGAATGCTGAGAATACCAGAAAGATGTTTCCTGTGTTTTATTGGCTATGCAAAAGCATTCGACTATGTGGATCATAATGAATTATGGCTAAAACTGAGAAGAATGGGAATTCCAGAACACTTAATTGTGCTCATGAGGAACCTTTACATAGACCAAGAAGCAGTCATTCAAACAGAACGAGGGGATACTATGTGGTTTAAAATCAGGAAAGGTGTGCATCAGGGTTGTATACTTTAATCACACTTATTCAGTCTGTATACTGAGCAGATAATCCAATAAGCTGGACTATCTGAAGAACATGCTATCAGGATTGGAAAAAGATTCATTAACAACCTGTGATGTGCAGATGACGCAACCTTGCTTGCTGAAAGTGAAGAGGACTTGAAGTACTTACTGATGAAGATCAAAGACTACAGCCTTCAGCGTGGATAACACTTCAATGTAAAAAAAAAAAAAATCCTCACAATAAGCAACATCATGATAAATGGAGAACAGATTGAAGTTGTCAACGATTTCATTTTGCTTGGCTCTACAATCAACACCCATAGAAGAAGCAGTCAAGAAATCAAACAATTTATTGCATTGGGCAGATTTGCTACAAAAGATCTCTTTAAAGTGTTAAAAAGCAAAGATGTCACTTTGAAGACTAAGGTACGCCTGACCCAAACCATAGCATTTTCAGTCGCCTGTAAAAGCTGGACAATGAATAAGGAAGACCAAAGAAGAATTGAGGCCTATGAATTACAATGTTGGTGAAGAATATTGAATATACCATGGACTCCCAGAAGAACAAACAAATCTGTCTTGGAGGAAGTACAGCCAGCATGATTCTTAGAAGCAAGGATGGTGAGGCTTTGTCTTACATACTTTGGGCATGTTATCAGAAGGGCTCAGTCCCCAAAGAACATCATACATGGTAAAGTAGAGGGTCAGCAAGAAAGAGAAAGACCCTCAACGAGATGGACTGGCACAGTGGCTGCAACAATGGGCTCAAACATAGCAATGATTGGAAGGATGGCATAGGACCAGACAGTGTTTTGTTCTGTTGTGTCACAATGAGTCAGAACTGATGTGACAGCACCCACCAACAACGAGATCAGCCCAATCGCCATCGCCCTCACTCCTGTGCAGTCCTCCCCAGGCAAGGCTGGTATTGGGAGGGCTGACCAGCAGTCTGGGACTGAGTGAATAAACATCTGGAGACTCCAGAGAGGTCAACCAGGTGGGGCCATAGCCCCAGTGGGCGGCTGGCAGAATTGTGTCTGACCATCAGTCCAGGGCAAGGAGACAAGAGTTAGGCAAGTTGTGAGTCTTCCAAGCCAAACTTAGGGTCCAGAAGGGATGGAGTGTGCTGGTAAGCCTGTCTGCCCTTTGGTTCTTAGGTTCTGCAGGTTGACTTTCACGGGCTCCAGGGCCAGGGATGGGGCAGGAAAGTCACCAAGTATGGTATCTCTCTCTCCAGATATCAGAGACTTCCTGCCTGTGGGCCAGGAGGGAGTGGGTAAGAGGACGGCTTTTGGAGTTAGGCAGACCTGAGCACGAAGCCCCTCTCTGCTCCTTACAGGTTGGGTGGCTTTTCTCTGAGTTTCCATGTTATTAAGTAGGGATAAGAATCTAATCTCATAGGGAGTCGGTGAGGATTAAATGAGAAAGTACTTGAAAATAGCTATTATGATTATTATTAGAGTTATTATTAGTCATGGGTACAGTAGTTCAAGAGTCCACCCTGAGTCTGGAAACTTCTTGGAGGAAGATGGTGAAATAGAACAGGAGAGGAGGATAACACTTAGTTTTAAAGTGCTTCACCTGGAGAAGTGTCATTTGGCTTTTGGTCAAGTTTGGATGAACGGTTTGAAATGGTTCTCATTTTATGGTATTTGCATCTGTCAGTCAACAGACTCTAGGTTTCTGGCTCTGTGCTGGAAGCCATGGGGGTGCTCAGGTGCTCAAGTGAATAGAACACTGTACCTCCAGCCAGGCTCGCCTGGGCCCAACCCCAGAGAAGGCAGAGGAGTGTGCAGGAAAATGCCGACTCATGTGAACCTCATGTTGGGCGGTCACACATGTCCCCAAGGGCAATCTTTCCAGCAGGGGCAATGCAGTGAAGCTGCATGTCTGAGGGTGTCTGGGGGTCACTGGTCCTATGTGAGGCTTTGTGAATGAAGGGTCCTTGGCTAATAAGTTTAGGGAGCACTGCATGCTAACCCCCTGCTTTGGGAGCATTGTAGTGCTCACAGGCTTAGTAAAGGCTCTGAGAAGGTCAAGGAACATGTTAAATCCAGTACCCACAAGCTTGGGTTCCCCTTGGTGAGTAGATAGAGCCCAGCTCCATGACAGGACATTAGTTCTCTGTGGTTTGGGGTTGCTCTCAGCACCTCTCTGGGCCTTCACTTCTCAATGTGTGGAAAGAGGAGGTGTTTCCCTTCCTTGCACTCCATGACCCCAGGTTTGCTTGTCATGCTGAAGAGCAGATAAGGGGCACTAAACTTGGAGCCAGCCTGGACCCTCAGAGGAGGTCCAGAATAATATGTATGTATGTATGTGTGTGTGCATATATGTATATATATATATAAAGCTGAGAAATCTATAACTTTATTTAAAAAATAAAACTGAAGCGCACTTAGGGCTTTTTAAAAAAGCACCCATCAGTTTATGTTGAATGATAAAGCTGCTGATATAAAGAAAAAGAAAAAAAAAAACAAAAACACTCAATATTGGCATCTTGAGGAAGGCTTCAAACACAGTCTCTTAAATTCAAGTCCTGGTAGCATAGTGCCTAAGGCACGTGACTGCTAACCAAGGGGCTGGTGGTTCAAACCCACCAGCAACTCCTCAGAAGGAAGATGGGGCAATCTACTTCCATAGTGATACTGCCTTGACAACCCAAGGAGGGGTCGCTATGAGTCGGGTGCGACTCAACGGCACATAACAACAACAACAACAACATAGGGACCAGAGGCGCAGAAGTAGTAGGGGGCCACACTGGGGTCATTAGGCCCTTGAGAGGGTTGCTTCCTCCTCATCTACATATGACTTCCATTGAGACTTTGTCCACTTCAAGCCTAATTTGATCATGTTCAGCTCTGCAGCGCAGCGGGAGGCAGCAGGGAGGGCAGTCTGCCAACCGTCCCTGTTGTTTCTTTCTGAAGCTCATTGCAGCCCAGGTCTCTGGCTTCACATGTGTGTGACCTGCATGAGGCCTGACTTCATTGTCCTCGACTAGAATTGCT